CTCCACCACCTCCAACTGGTTTGCCGATTGGACGGCAAACCAGTTGGAGGTGGTGGAGTTCCAATCACTGAACTTTGTCCAGTTGGCAAACCAGTTGGAGGTGGTGGAGATCCAATCACAGAACTTTAACTGGACAAAGTTCAGTGATTGGAACTCCACAAACTCTGACTGCTTTTCCAGTTGGACAAAGCTCTTTAACTGGAATTTCATCAATTCAGACTGTGTTACCACTAGAAAACAGCCCAGTGACTGAAGTTCTACCTTCAGAGACTCTTTTAGAAATAGGGGCTAGCCCAGTGACTGAAGTTCTGCCTCCAGAGACTCTTTTAGAAATAGAGGCTAGCCCAGTGATTGGAACACTACCTTCAGAGACTGTTTTAGAGGACAACTCATCTTTATTATTCTTTGAATCACCAGGAATAGTGAAGTTTCACTCTTCAGAATTTGATAGTCCATCCTTTGGAATGAGTGTTCCAGCTGTATCTGTTTCAACAAGAGAAGTTTCTTCATCAGGTGAAACGGTTTTTCTTTTTTTGGCTTTGACTTTTAAGTTTGGATTTCTTCATTGGGAGTTGAGTTCTTTTGTAGTCTGGTCTGTTTATTTTGATGTTTCTGACTGTTGATATTTTTCATTTTTACATTCTTTATTTGTGCATGCATCTTTTTTATGTATTGTTTGGTAAGAAATGTTAGTTTAATTTCACGTTTTATGTTCAGTTTGTTTGTTTTTTGTAGGGTTTGTATGAATAGTGAATGTAATGTGTTGACACTAGTAGAATATTACAATTATCAAATGACTAAACTCTAATATAGACTTCTCATATTTGGTTTAGTGGCATGCAAAAAACACTGTTGACAAATGTTTAAATTGTGTGATTATTTTATTTATTTAAATAAATACATTTATGCTGGATTCTGTTATGCATGATATTTTCTTGTTTGTACAAGTCTGAAACTACACTGATTTGGGCCACGTGTGATATTTTTGAGTAGATCATAAAAATTGTATACAAGGTTTATAGAAACTTGCATGTTGAAATATTAAATTGTTGTTAAACAAATTACAGACAAACTTTTTTATTTAAGAATGTGTTATTGCTTTAGTTAAGGAACTGAAGTAAATAAATAGTTTAATGATATGAAATGGTTTAAGAAAGAGTTTTGTCTTTGATCATGAAGGTGGTTTTGACTTGTTTGGAGATGTACTTCAACCACAAACAGTCAATGACAGTTCCAAGAGTCCTCCAGCAATAACCCCTGCTGCAAAGAAAAAGCAGTCTCCTGTGAAACCAATAGTAGAAGGTGATCTTGATTCAAGTATAGCCAATTTGGCCCAGAATCTGGATATTGGTGGCCCTCCACAACACCTAAAGAAGCAAGTAGTGTGTACATCTAAATTTATGGTGTTTGGTGTTGTCTTTAACTCACCACACTGAACCTATGTTTATATAAAAATACTATGTATAGAATATACACAGTCTACCACTATATGGATCCTAGCTTTGTCCTTTTGATTTGCCTTTGTCTAGAGTTATTGATGAGATGTGGAATTCTCAAAAACCAGTATAACTCAGTGACTATGGTGAATCAAATGATAGATTAGGCTTCACATTTATTTTTAACATTGTAGTTTTCATTAAGTTAGAAGACCTTTGTAAACATCTATGCTAGTTGTTTACTTTACATTCTAAGTTAAAGACTTTTTTTTTAAGTTCCACTGATAATGATTATGTGTGTGTGTGAAGATAATTATCTGGTTATGATGAAGATGTACCATTTCTCAAATGGCTATGTTAAAGGCTAGAAAATACTAATTGTATATTACTGGTTATATATTAGGCCTAACGTAAAATTCAAATTTTATGTTAGGCCTAATTTATAATAAACCTCAAACCTGCTATTATTCACAGATTTGAAGCCCATCAGTGGGGATCAACAAAATCAGCTGTGAAGCCTGATGCAGGAAGTACGAGTGGTGGAGGGGGATGGGTTGGTTCTTCAACTGGACCGTCTGGCAATGCTGGTTGGAAAACTTCCCAGTCTGGCTACCAGCCAATGGTAAATTCTGATTGAAACAAATTCTTTTTAAAAAATAATTTCTACCAATTGAAAGATTATATTTTCTTTTAAGAATGGCTATTAATAATACTTTATTTGGTAATATTTTAAATCCATCGGTCATGGTTAAATATGTTCTTAAATATTACTTATTTCTGCATATGAAATCTTTGGCAGAGTTCCACAAAAATATATATATATTAAATGGGCCATATTAATTAATGAAATAATTGTTAGTTCTTATCTGTGTAGTTATATATACTTGAGAAGTTAATGATAATTAAGTTAAAAGGCTGGAGTACATTTATGTTTTCTTTTTATTATTGCAGGGTATTGCGGGACACCTTGGAAGAGGGACCACAATGAGTTGCCCATTCTCTCGGCCAGGAATACCGCAACAGAGTATGGGGGTCTGTATTTCAGCAACATCAAATTTTAATTACTTGTAACAACACCATGGTCCTGAACATCACCTTTTTAATTACTTGTAACAACACCACGGTCCTGAACATCACCTTTTTAATTACTTGTAACAACACCACGGTCCTGAACATCATCTTTTTAATTACTTGTAATAACACCATGGTCCTGCACATGAACTTTTTAATTACTTGTAACAACACCATGGTCCTGAACATCACCTTTTTAATTACTTGTAACAACACCATGGTCCTGAACATCACCTTTTTAATTACTTGTAACAACACCATGGTCCTGAACATCACCTTTTTAATTACTTTTAATAACACCATGGTCCTGCACATCAACTTTTTAATTACTTTTAATAACACCACAGTCCTGAACATCACCTTTTTTAATTACTTTTAATAACACCACGGTCCTGAACATCACCTTTTTAATTAAAAGTAATTAAAAAGTTAAAGTACAGGACCATGTTGTTGTTACAAATAATTAAAAGGTTGATGTTCAGGACCGTGGTGTTATTAAAAGTAATTAAAAGGTTGATGTTCAGGACCGTGGTGTTATTACAAGTAATTAAAAGGTTGATGTTCAGGACCGTGGTGCTATTAAAAGTAATAACACCATGGTCCTACAGTTCAACAGTGCTAAAGGTTTTGGTGTTTATTACAATTTCTAGTGTCATGTCATAATTACTTTCTCATGAGAACGTATCTTAAACTTTACATTTTAGTTATTCAAATTTGAAAATAATCTGTTTGGATTTTCCTTAACCATGCTCCATTTTGAAGTAGTCCTAAGTTAATGAACAAGGCTTCCATACGTAGCTCTATGAACTTATAATGCTAAAGTCTAGTGATTAGTTCTTTGTGGTGGACACAGCACATAGTCCAATTTAGCTTTGCTCTAAAAGCCAACAACTAGTATAAATGGTTGGAAATGTTGAATTTCAGTGGGTTTTAAAAATGTACTGTAAAGAAAACAATTGTATTTTCCCTCAAAAATACAACTTTTATTGTGGTTTTGCAAAACCATTAGAAATAATTGCCATCAAATGATGTAAAAATGATGTTTTTCAAGTAGTAAACTAATAGGAATTAAGACAACCTAATTAAATACTCTTTTCAGTTCTATTCAGAAGCTTTTCCTCACATAGATGCTTTAGTTTAAGCTTGAAAGGTTCCATGTGTGACTTAAACGTAAAAATTGGAACTCAAAAACATATATTAATGTTTATTTTTGTTTAGTGATTAACACTGGCTGTTTATTTTTGTTTAGTGATTAACACTGGCTGTTTATTTTTATTTAGTGATTAACACTGGCTGTTTATTTTTATCTAGTGATTAACACTGGCTGTTTATTTTTATCTAGTGATTAACACTGGCTGTTTATTTTTATCTAGTGATTAACACTGGCTGGTTATTTTTGTTTAGTGATTAGGACTGGCTGGTTT